AAGTGGGGGCCGCAGGCTTCGGGTGACTCTCAGTCAGGGCCACTTCCCGGAGGGGCTGCACCCCCGCAGGCTCCTGCCCCGCTGGGCTTTGGTCCTTCCACACCCGAACCGACTCGGCTGTGTGAGTCCGGCTGTCTGAGCCTGTGTGCAGCAGTCTCCGGGTCTGGCTGTGATTTGCGCTGCCCTGGGGACTCGTGAGGTTAGGCAGCTTTTCACGTTCTTTCTGGCCTTGGGCGCGACTGCCTGCGGGGGAAGCCTCTACCTGTGTCTTCTGTCTATTAAACACTTTTAGCCTTTTCATTATTGAGTTGTAAGAGCCCCATTATTGGAGATGCACATCCTCGCTCAGGTGTGTAATTTGCAGCGGTTTCCTTGAGCTGCAGGGCGTCTTCCCGCTCTCTCGATGGCCCTCTCTGAGGCACGGGAGCTTCTCATTTTTACACAGTGCAATTTGCCTTCCCTTTGTTGCTCTGGCTTTTGGTGTCCCAGCCGCGGCTCCTCGCAGGATCCAAGGCTGTGTTAGGTGACTTGCTGTCACCATGTCAAATGCCTGAGAGAAGCGACGAGTAGAGAGAAAAGTTTTATTTCAGCTTGCAATTTGAGAGCTTCCAGTCCTGGTCCCGGACACAGAGCTTTCAGGCTCCGGTGGGGAGGAGGCGGCACCGCGTGGTGGGATCACCCCTGGGAACCAAAGAGGAAGAGGCCCCGTCCCGCGGCCCCCAGTGAGGGGACACCTTCCCTAACAGAAGGACGCCTCCGGTCACCTCCTGAGAGCGGCAGCTGGGACCAGGCCTTTAACACACGGGGACATGTGGGGTGTAGGAGACAGTTAAGATCCAAACAACAGCACAGACCACAAAGATTCCCCTCTCTAGTTTCTCCTGCGAATTTTATGGTTTGAACGTTCACACCTTGGTCTCTGACTCAGTCTAAGTTTATTTTGTATATGGTGTGAGGTGGGGATGGTACCAAGTGCTGGGGCCCACGGATCGCAGGCTCTCGGGCGTGGCCAGTGAAGAGAGGCAAGCCGCCGTCCCGCGGTGAAAGAAAAGGCGGCTGGCTGCCTTTATGGACAAAGAGTGGGAAGATGTGCTCAGGGCGGCCTGTGCCGCTTACAGTAGGATGTGGCTTGGCCAGAAAAGTGGTGTGGAGATGAGGGGAACGTGAGGAGCGTGCAGGTAAAGTCAGGCGTTACGGCCCTCTGATAAGATGGACAGGACTGACCCACACTGGGCTCTGTGATCTCAGCGGTGCCCACACAAGCCTGCCCGGGATCCGCTAAGCTTCAGTTCTGAATGTGCGACGCGGTCCACACGTGTGTGCTTCTGATGAGGCTCCCTGAGGAAAAGGTTACTGACGTCCAGGCCCTGCCAGGATCCAACAGGCAGGTTCCCTGGCCTGGAGTTTTACAGATTTCTTGGGCCTTTGTTATTTTTATTTCTGCTTCCCTGAGAACAACAGAATGATTGCTGCCCAAAGGACCCTGGGAAGGGCTGAAGGGAAGTGGTCTCCCGGCCCCAGGTGTGCTACTGTTTCCTCCCTGAAAATCAGACTGGGTCTCCAGTCAATTAATTGTGCTCCAAAAGAGGCAATAGGGCTTATTTTCAGGAGATGTCTTATTTTTTCATGCACAACAGTCTACATTTATTCATGTGCAACAATCTACATTTATTTATTTGTTCATGTCCAAGAATCTATATTTATCCAAATATAGCCACATCACCTTCTCTGGGGACAGCCTTGTGCTCACGCCCGTGGGAAAGACCCAAGTCCATTACTAAAGAGCCCCATGTCCAAGCCTTGGTCCTAGGCAGTCCGAGTACAGCTACACGACCCTGGGGCCAGGAACTGAGTTCTCTGTGCCTGACCACCTGTGCCCCGAAAACCTGTGCGCTTTCCCAGCCTTCCTGGTCTCAGGCTGCTCACATCTGAGGAGAAAACGGCCTCCTGAGATCAGCCGCCCGCCCCAGGGTCCCTGCGCTCCCCCACCGCCTGCCTTTATAGCCGGAGCTCTCCTGACCCCATTTCCATTAGAACCACTGGCCGCGATCGCTCGTGAACAGCTATAGAGCTGTTCTTGGACGAGCACTTCTGGGCCATCTAAGGCCTGTTCGTGGCGCACTGGCAACCCCGCTGCTAGGGGATTTGGTCCTCACCCATGTCACGAAGGCTGCACGACGGCTGGCAGAATGTCTTTGAAACCCAGCGTCCCTCGGAGACTTGCGGTGCAGGAGCAGCGACAAAAAATGATGACGGCTAAGAGTCTCAGTCCATGCGAAGTGATGAAAAGTCGCAGGCATCGAAGTTCAGAAAAGTTCTGTTTCTTTCCCACAACTGCAGGAAGCGCGTGCATCGCTACAACACTACTGGGAAGTCCAGTGAGACCTAACCACGCCCACTCGTCGTCATGGCAGCACGTTCTCCGCTCCGATTGGTCAGGCCACAGCAAGCCTGGGGTTCAACCATTTACATAGACCTCGAAGCCAAGCCTCTCTTCCAAAGACGTCGGTCCGCGTGTTCACACAGACTTAAATCATAATTGATAGTATCACTTAAGTATTAATGTCAATAGTATCATGTACTTATATTTAAATATATATTAATATTTTATAATTCAGTATTTCTGTTGTGTATTGCAATGGATGTACTAGACACCTCTGTCTGGTTGATCATCTTAACTGGGGGTTATTTTTTGGGTAGGGTTTATATTATGGTCACCATGACAAATTGACCTAGGGCTTATTTTCCAGTTAGGTGTTCCTTTTGGGGACTCATGGCACCTGTACGAGGGTTTTCAGCTTTAATTCTTTGGGTACAGCTTTCCAGCTGTCCTGGTGCTTTCTGGCAAGGGTGACCTTTTCCTCGTGGGATGGTCTTGGTTCCTTGTTAGACCCGGGGACGGCGGACAGACTGCGCATATCCCGCCCCTCAGCCCTGGTCCCCGATCTGTATGTCTCTCTATTGACCTCGAAGCCAGAATCTTGCTGCCTGCATCAATGTGGATTTTCTTTACTACACTGTGGAAAACTGAGGCTCTAGTCACTGAATGTTGGGAGCCTGGCAACCCCAGCCCCACCTGAGGGTTATTTAGCTGCTGCAGGGAGGGACGCCGCACCTTGAGCCCCCCACCCGGTCCCGCACCTGGGGAAGCAGGGTCCTGGGGCCTCCCTGGGGGTTGGAGTTGGCCCTGAGTGAGTTTAAGGAGAAGGTGTGGAGGCAGAGAGGCCCATCTGGGCTTGGGTCCTCCTGCAAATGGGGCGATATGGCAGTGGGGTCCCCATGTTGACCCCGGAGGTGGGAGGCTTAGAGCAGAGCCAGACTGTGGCTGGTGGAGGGGCTCCGGTCACTCGGGGAGGCTGGCCAGTCCTGTCCCTGCCCTGACATGCGTTTGCTCCTGGGGGACTTGCTCAGGCTGGTTGTCAGCAGATCTGTTCTCCACTCTCCGGGGACGAGAGTGTCCGCCTGGCTTTTACTGTGGAGAAATCAGAGATTCCCCCTGGCACTGGCAGTGCCGCCCACCTAGCAGGCAGGGCTCTGAGGCCAGGGCTGGGCCTCGGCCACGCTAGCTGCATGGTGTCGGAAGTCCCTTCCCTACCTGGGCCTCAGTTTCCTCATCCGTGATGCCAGGGGACTAGGTGAGGACCTGGGCCTCCCTGCACATCTGTACCCAGGATCTGGTCTTTTGTGCTGTCTGAGAGGAAACCTGCCGCAGGGAGCCCCCCCCCCCCCCTTTCACCAGCACCTCGCACGCGGCGCAGCGGCCTCCAGCCTCCTTCTCCACCCGTTAGCTCAGCAGCTCAGCGTTTGGACTTCGCACCCTGGCAAAATTGCCAAAAAATATTTTCAGGACCAACATAGGGATGCCAGTATTTTATTTTGTCAAGTAGGATGTTAAAAATAGCACGTGCTGCCTGCATTAGACACAATGAATCGAAAAGAAAAGCTAAGCAAGGACAATGCTCTTCTTGCGTGTATACGGCTGGCGAAACCGATCTAGCCACTTGGCGGGGTCCTGTGTCCGAACTGTAGGATTTGCTTCTTGGTGCTGGTGGCCATGGTGACCGTGCTCCGTCCTCCTCAGACGCCTGCTTGGACCCATGTGATGATGTCACAGACAGACACGATCTTTGGTGCTTCTCAAAGTGGCTTCACTTGCACCACACCAGACAGGGCCTGCCCCTGGATGGAGATGGCACTGGTGAAGATGTGTTTCCTGTCAGCATAGGGGCCTTTGATGGCATCTTTGGGTCACTTAAAATCCAGGCCAAAGTTCTTCTGTGGGGAGCTTCCCCTGCTGGTTTCTCTCAGCAGAATCCGGAATGATTTTGAAGGGTCTCTGGTTGTTGTGTGGGCTGACTTTGAACTCACCATGTAGCCCAAGTTGGTCTTGAACTCCCAGCGATCCTCCTGCCTCAGCCTCCCAGATTCTGGGATGACAGGTGTGATCACCACATCCCCAGCCTCCTTAACCCTTATTATAATCCAAATACCACCTGGGGTTCTTGAGGGTGGATGGTGGGCTGAGGGACAGGCAGGAAGTGCTCAGAGCTGGGCCCATGCACCTGCTTCTGGCAGCTTGAGCAATGCTAGAAAGAAAGACCAGCACCCACTTACAGACAGACAGAGACAGAGACCAGCAACTGACACCACAGGTTATATTTTTTGTGTGCAGAAATGCAGTAAGAAGTGGACTGTAAATTTTTAACCCCCACAGCAAAGTGCCAGGTCTGTTTTTTTTTTTTTTCTTAACTCTTTCAAGTCACAGACAACACTTGGCATTGGTGGCTCACTCTGTCTGGGCTGTAAAGACCTGTATTTAATGGCAGCCTTCCCCCAGGGTCCAGCTACACCCTGTGCTACTGTTCCTTTAAAAACTGCGCCTGTGCTACCATACGGACCCAATCAGCTGGCAGACGGAGGAGCTACTTGGGCACCTGACCACTGGTACTGCCAATAAAATGAGAGTCTGTAGGAAGCCTGGAAGAGTGACAGCCTCCTGAGGGAGCCTGGCAATCCTGTTTAAAGGGGCAGTGTGGCAGATGGACTGCTCAGGCTGAGGGCTAAGTGGTATGGAGTTCAGAGTCCCTGCACTGACCGACGCACCCCAGAGTGGCTGCTGTCCTACTGGAAGATGATAATTTGCTGGGAAAGGTGAGTGATTTATCTGACTAATTGGACTTTTATTTGCATTTTAAATCATGCTCTTTTGCTAAACTAATGGACCCCTATTTATAGATGACTCCAACACAAAGTGACTGCTAATTACTACAATTAATATCACGTTAAGGGCTTGCCAGCCAACTTCACAGTGACTTGTATCGCCTACTCATTTTCAATTAAGGCGCACTGACAGGGAGAATACGTGGTTATTAGGAGTGGGCCCTGGGGTGTCATTACTGCTCACGAAGGTCATTAAGCTGCTCCCCTGCTGGGCTGGCACCTTGTGCCTGGGAACCGGGGCCCAGATCCATGTTCTACCCAGGGGCCATAAAGGGTGTGTGCCCCAGGCTGCTGGGCAGATGGCACAGCTGGCTCTGAGCTGCCTGGAGGTGGAGCAGAGGATGCCAGGCCGAACTGGGCAAGGAGGCTGAGGGGGCTGTTCCTCTCCAGCTGACAGGAGAAACGCAGCCACCCTCAGGCACATTCATGGGACAGGCAGGGGGTTGGCAGCAGGGATGGGTGAGGCGATCAGAACCCAGAGACAGCTGAGAGAGCCGAGGCTGGGGAGGTGGAGGTGGGTGGGGGAGGCTGGGAGGGAGCTGTCTCGCCTGGAGGAAAAGCCAGTCACTGGGGTGTAGGGGAGGGCAAGAAAGGGGTGGTAGCGGGAAGTTGGGGAGGTGACCGTCCCCTGGCTCTCTGATCTCTGGTAGCCTCAGTCATGGACCAGGTCAGGGCTGGCAACTCCAGGGCCCAGGCAGGGGCTGGCCAGCAACCTGAGGGGTACAGGGCTAGGCCTGAGCTGAAGACCTGGGGCAGGACGGGAGATGTCCTAGGCAGGCCAAGAGCTACTCTGGGGGCTTCAGGAGCCTGGGGAACCGGCTGTGGTGTTTGTATAACCGTGCGGGTAACAGGTCTGTGTGCAACAGAGCCAGAGCTTTCCTGGGTGCTGGCTGTGAGTGTTCCCCGCACACCGCTGCTCTGGAGCTTGGTAGGTGCTCACCAAACTCAGTGGGGACTTAAGGAAGCCACCTCTTAAGCAAGCCCCTTGAATAATGGGTACTTGGTCGTGGGCAGCGGGGGGTTCACTTCCAGACCCCATCTCTATTCAGGGTGAACCCGCACATCTGCATCCCTAACCTCAGCCTGCCCAGAGCCCCCCACCTCTCCAGCTGCACCAAGGGACAACTGGGTGGCTGTGGGGGTGAGTGGGGAGGACCTGCTGGTTCTGATATTGGGGTGCTGGATTTCCTTCTAGAGGTGCTTCCTAGGTTCTTCCTGTCCCCCCAAAAGAACTGAATGAAACAAGCATAAAAGATGGCAAAGTTTCACATTTATTAAAGACCAAAAGGGGGGGGGGATGGGTCTGCAGAGCAAGTGGGCCAAGCAAAGTAGAAAAAAGGGAAGAAAAAAAGAAAAAGAAAAACACACCCTACAGTATAGAGCACACTAAAAAAGACACAGCAAAGTGAGCACTTAAAGGCTATAGTCCCTTTGTCGTATTTTACACATGGGAGCTATGTCCCCGTCATACTTTCAAAAGCCTGCTTGAGTTCTCGCGAGAAGTCCACTCTCGGGGCTTCAGGATGGTTTTGCGCATGCGTCCTGGGATTTCCTCCAGCAGTCAACTGCAACTGCTTGTTAGCCGCCCTGTGTCTTCCTGCCCGGCTGCTCCTCTCCCTGAACCCCAGGAGGTTCCGCCCGCCACTCCCGCTTGCTGCATCCTCCCAGGCTCCGCCCTCAGAGCGGCTTCTTTGCTCCTTGCTACCCTGGTCCTTTCTGAGTTGTCCCCAGAGCCTTGAGGAGGCCTCCGGTGTCTCCACACACAGGCGTCCAGCGCTGTGGGTCAGGTTCGCCTGCACAAAGATGACATGTTTCGGATCACCCGCAAGTCTCGCTCACCCTAGAGTAGGAAATCTGGGGTTCATTCTTGGGGCACTGTGACCACCAATTGCTTAGCTGGTAAAGGTTCCCACTTGTGGTCCAGGCCTGCAGCCTTCGCTTCCAACAGAAGGCCAGAGCGGGAGGAAGACAGGCTCATCTCTCAAGCACTTCCTAAAATCCATCCACTCAGGGCGACTGTGTTCAGGTGGCGGCTGCACGGCCACACCTGGCCGTGAATGGAGGACTGTGGAACTTTGCGGTCCTCAGTTTCCCACAGAAGAGCAGGGTTCTGTTGCTAAGGAAGCCTCGAGGGGCTGCAGGACAGGTGGCCTCAGAGAGCACGCCCCCTCCATCCACCAGAATTTGAACAACTTCCCAGGACTAATTCTCTTTCTGCAGTCCTAAGAGAAGCAGAAATGAGAACAGCAAAGTCCCAGCAGATGTCTAAAGGCCCGGGCATATGCGTAGGAGATCCCAGACCTGACCTTCAGTGACACGTGATTAAACCGTGAATTCCGGAAGAGTCCTGTGCACTGAGGTGCCCCCAGATGACCAAGCACCCTGTCAATCATTTCTGGCAGCCTTATCCCCCCACCCCCCCCACCCCACCCCGGGCGGGGTGCGCAGCCTTGGAAATCCCAGAGTCTGATTTACCTCCGTTCTTCTGGTCCCCGGCCAAACAGCGGTGCTCCTCCGCGCCACCTGAGTGCACCTTCCAGTTAGCTCCAATACAGAGGAGCTACTTTTTTTTAATCACTGGGTGTGTGCTCGCCGTTCTTTGCTTGCCATGCACAAGGACCTGGACTCTGTCTCTCAGACGCGTCGCACATGGTCACCAAGTGGACTTGGAGGACTGTGGACCCTGATAGGATGCTGGACACCTGTAGTCCCTGCAGCTCTGGGACCTGGCAGCTGTGCTGGCATTGTGTCCGTGGACCCGAGCGGTGGCCTGCTTGGTTTCCTTTGCCTCCAGATCCAGCTGTTGGACAAGGGCACTGGTGTGTGTGGGTGCTCAGAAGAGGCCCAGGTTCCTGGACCCTGGCGATGTAGGAAGACTGTGCTCCCCACTGGGCCACTGAGCCAGGCTGGGGCTTGGCACTGTCACCTGGCCCTGCTGGGAACTGGGGAACCTCTGCCAGCAACACAAGTGTGCAGGGCCCTGTCCCCAGGTGCTTCTGTGGGTGGAGGGAGCTGGAAAGGGACATGGGGGAAGAGGACGGTGGGTGACATGAAACCACCAAGGGCCGGGTGGGAGAAGGTTAGGTCACTGGGGTGCAGCTTCAAGGGGATCTCAGGACTCAGGTGTAGTCTCTTCACTGCCTCCCAGATTGAGATGTTAGCTGCTTCAGACAGTGTGTGACAGCTAAGGGCCACCATGGTGGGACAGTGATGGGACCGAAGGCTGCAATGACAAGATAAGCCTCTGGCCACAGTTAAGTGTTACGCTTTGCAGCATGGTGCATTGCAACGGCTGAACTTCATGAGACCCTGCTAAAATCACAGCGGCAGAATATTTACACTAAATGAGAACTCCTTACCAAAAAAACCAAAACAAAAAACAAGAAACTTCTAGATAAGCCCTGTGGCCTCACACATTCAGCTTGGAAGTCTCTAATTCTGGAGGCTGCACCTGTGCCAGTGGGGGGTGGGGTGGGGCACAGACAGTTGCCTAGGTTACCTCCCAGTGCTGGCTGCAGACTCCAATTCCTCACTCCAGCCTCATATGTCTGATGGGTGAGAGTGGGGCACCCCTTCGGCCGCGATCTCCGCGAGGTGTCTGCGTCTCTGCTGTCTTACCGCGAGGTCAGAGTCTGCCCAGCGCTGCCCGTGGCGCTTTGAGCCTTTGAAATGTTCAGTCCCAGAGGCACACACAGGCTCCACCTGGCTGCTGTTCCTCGAAGCTGGCATGTATGTTCTTTTCCTTCTCTGTTTTCTGCCTCCAGTCTCGGCCACAAGAGGCCAAGCCCCAAGCACTTGGCACCCTTCACCCTGGCACGGGGCCGGACCCTCAGGGTCAGGATGCTTGGCCCCAGGGGTGCAGCCAATTACACAAAAACTCAGCAACTCTGGGTGGTTTGACCGTGACTCCCAGGGGCCCACGTCACCATGGAGAGGCAGCTTTTGGAGCTGAGCACCTGGCCTGCGCCAGTGGCTTGACCTTGGTCCGACTAGGAAACCGCCCAGGCTTGCTGTGCTTTTTCCTCTGGGAGAGAAGCTCGGCCACTCTGGACCAACTGCGGCCCTGGCCCATCTGCCTGGACCCTCTCTCCCATAAGGCTTGGCCTGTGTGAGAGAGTGGGCACCAGCCAATACCTGACCCGGTGTTGTTTCTGATTTATCTGGGTCAACCAGCATTGGGCGGGGCCGCCTCCCCTTTGATTTGAACCCCCAAGTGCCAGAGCCAAAATAAACCTCCCTGGAGTTGACAATGAAGGCTTGGGTCAGGTTTCACGGTGGAAACCCAGAGCTCACCAGCTCAGCAGCCGCTCCTGTTAGACGAGAGGGGAAGGAGCTGGAGGGGTTAGGGGTGGGCCGGCTGGCCCTGGCCCTCAGAAGTGGACAGTGAGGCTGGCACTCTGCTGCTGCCATCAGCAGCTGAGGTGCCCTGTCCAGGGGCTGAGACACCTGGCGCTGAAAAGCCAACCTGGGGCACGTCTTGGAGAGCAGCGGGAATCCCACGAGGTAGGGGGCCTCCCCGCTCTGCAGAGCCCACGCAGGCTCCGCCCTGCCGCCTCCTTGTATGTCCTACTGTAGTCCCCCCCTGGCCTCCGGGGTAAAGAGCATCTTCAGGCCTGTCCCGTCAGGAGGAAGGAGGCTGCCGCCACCCGCTCCGTAATGTGAACGAGCCCTACATGGTTCTCTGCCGAACACCAGGCGCTTGGTGAGAACTGTGACTATCTCATCCTATGACAGAAACAAGTTTACCCATGTGCCCTCCCTGCTTTCTTTACAGGTGTCCGTGGGGACCCATTCACATGGGTAAATGTGATGAGCCGCAGGCTCGCAGCGCTGTGAGGCCGCCCGGCACGCCCAGTGGGGCATGCACTCCATGGCCACCCTCTTGTGACCACACTGGTGCGAGGCCACCCCTGGGTCTGTCCTCCCCCCAC